CCATTTCCACATGATCACTCCTGGGCTTGCAGGTAGAGCGGGAGCTCACAGACCTCTGGACCCTGAGGAAGGTAATACACGGTGAAGACCTCATGTTTTTAGTAGGCAAAGTTTGCCTAAAAACTATCTCGCACATTCAGATTACTACTATTGCTTGCCTGCTTGCCCTTATTCATATATTCTTTAATTCTTTCAGTCTTTTTAGTAATACCATGACAAACATCTTTTCTAAACTTTTACTTTTATTGGTACAGGTTTGCAGTACAGAATGATCACAACTTGGGGTCAGGAATTTAGCCCAGTGACATAGGCGCCTGCCTGGCAAGCGCAAGGTTGTTAGTTCGCTTCCTGGTACCAAAAAAACAAACAAACAACCCATAATGATCACACTCATCTCAGGGAGTCGGTATAAGTACACAACACATCTTCCTTCTTTTGCTGTCCCCTTCTCCTCCCTTCCCTCTCCTTTTACTTCTTGGCCACCTTCCCATTTGCAGATCTGTGTCCCTGTTTCCTTGAACTCATGGGGCAGTATTATGTGCTAACCCTTGTCTCTGAGGGCTGCTGGGTCGTTTTCTGGAGTAATTTTTAGTCAACTGCCATTGCAGCTGCTGTTCAGAGATGAAGTTAATGGAAAATTTCAGGGATTAGAGAGCAGGATAAAAGCTCTGAGCTCCAGGACAAAGTAAAGGCCCCAAATAAGCATCTCCCTTGCTGGGCTTCAACTGTGCCCATTTCCTGCATGTGAAGGGACAGGTGTTACAGGTAAAGCATCCAGGTCTCAAGGACCTGGGTCACCTGTGTGACCTCAGTCAAATGACAATGGCCCAGCAAGGGTCTAATGTGTCACCTGAGAGTTTAAGAAATAGCACATGGCTTACAGTTGCTGCAAGCATGAAAAGGAGAGAAAGGCTGTAGTATGGCTCAACAGAGTGCCGTTCTCGTTCTCCTTGCCCATCAGTTAGACCCTCCCTGGTTGACTCCAGAAGACACCTTGCTTCTCTAGGCTGAAGCACTGGAATGCAGGGATGATGGCAATTCCTACCGGAGTGCTCTCCAGACAAGGGCGGATCACCATGGGTTCTGAGTTGTCACACATCAGGTCAATGGCTGCCCTCCCTCCGTGCCCTAATAATGCTACCACGTAAGAATCAGCACAGGGACAAGCCTTCAGATGCAGTACGAAGCATATACATGTTACTATATTTAAACCCTGTAATAATCCTGAGAACTGGGTTCAGGAAATGTCACTATTTTCCCAAAGAAAAAAAAGACCAGCGATGTTGCCTTTGATTATCTCACAGCCACAATAATGTCACAGAGGAGTTAATGTGGAAAATTTTAAGTTGTTTCTATGCAAAAATAGTGATTTAGAAAATATATCCTGAAGTATAGAACCACAGAGTTCTCAACTATTATCTCTAACTTACAAAAACATGGTTACACTTTAGGTCTGTTGGTCAAAATTAATATACGTAAATTTTAATTTCTTTTATATTCTGAAAAGAGGAAATGATCTGCCAGCTCTGCTTTGTTATTTCCAAGAGTCTACAAAAAGTTTTGCATTTTTCTCTCACATAACTGGGGCACTCAAGCAAATTAAAACTACAAATTTCTGTTCTTTGAGCTGGAGTTCTGGTGATTCCAGAGGACACATAACAGTCAGAGGTCTGACTGGTTTTGCTGATATTACAGGTTCTGAGTGCCGGCGTGAGGCCACACTGTGACTCTGCCCCTGCCCAGCAGTCTCCACTCAGCTCTTCAAGCTAGAGCTGAGGTCTGTGTCTCCTCACATGCAGACCAGGTAACAGCAAAGGAGTACTTAGCAATTTGGGTCAAAAATTGGCTAAATGTTTCTGATGGGACTGAGGGGGCCAGGACGGAGCTGAGGTTTTCTTCCAGAGATGAACAGGGGCCATTTCTCACCAGACCAAAGAACTACTCAGGTCCAACTAAGCACAAGTTAGGAAGTGATTAATTTTACCTTTTGTAGGTATAAATATGCTTAAAATGTGTATTTTTACCACCTGTCAGAGCATTCACTCTAAACAAGGAGAAACAATCCCTGCTGCTCCTAAGTGAGGTTACCCTTCCATCCTCACTGCCTTCCTGGGATCTGCCAACTAAAGAGACACAAGCAGATGAGTTCAGAATCAGAAGATCTGAACAGCAGTTTTCCCAAGTGGAACCGAGTAGCACAGGGCACACACTGCTTAATGTTTCTAAGCTCTGGTTTCCAGATAAAGAACAAAAGTCATCCCTCTTCTCCAGAGAATGCAGTGCTGCAAAAAGAATGCTGGGTTACAAAGCAGAGGCCCTGTGGACGGAGCTCCCCATCTATCAGCCATTAATTTGAAGTATATACCTGGATAATCTAATTCCTCCACTCTTTGGTTTTTTCCTCCTCCCAGTAAGTAATGCCATTTGTCTTTCAGTCTTATAGGCTGGTTTTGAGGATATAATTTAAATGTAGAACAAAACAAGACAAGCCTTGTCTGACAAGCATAGTAACATATTAAGCAAATATATGAGTACCAATGTGAAACTACATTATTTTAGCTGGGATATTACTTCAAACTTTAAATTTTCATTTCTTCCCTGCTGAAAGAGGGAACCCATTACAGGCTTTAATTCTGGCCCTGCCACCGCCTCAACAGGTTGCACAACCCCACAATGCAACAGCCACTCTGGGTGGTGGATGTTACCCTCCTCAGCTCTGGGGCTGGGCGCTGACAGGTCCAGGTCAATCAGGACCATCCGTCCTGCTCCCTGCAGCAATGTGGAGCACTCCATTGCAGCAGGAGGGAGGTCAATCACTGTTCCCCTCCACTCAGATAGGCGTGGAGCTGCCCACAGTCACCTCACCATCACCAGGGTGCAGTGACAGAGAAGAGAGAGACTGCAGAGGAAAAGCACACTGCCTAATGGTATCATGAGCTCTGAATTAAACTGTGGCCATGGGGTTTCCTATTAGGTAAGGCAATGGATAGTGAGGTAGTTGTCCTGTTTTTAGGGGTAAAGTTCATTCTGGGTCTTTCCATAGCTTAACCTCGAGGACACTGCATTTACCGCTAAAGTCAGTCTCCAGATAGTGAGGGGTGGTTATCTTTGCATTTGGGGCTGCACTAAGTTTCAAGAGTGCCTAGGAAATGCAAAGTGTGGGGCTCACAACAAAACAAGCCTTCAAGGGGCTGGGGATTTAGTTCAGTGGCATAAGCGCCTGCCTGGCAAGCCCAATGTCTTGAGTTCGATCTCCGGCACAAAAAAAAAAAAAAAAAGAAAGAAAATACAAGACTTTAATAAAAATGGTGACCATGCTTGGAGCTCTACAAGAACTATGATGACAAAAGGAGTACATCTTTCACTTAATCATCACATTGACCCATGAAGGCTCACTATCACAGATCTAGAAATGAGAGAGTTTAGGTAACTTTTCTAGGGTCTCACAACTACCATGAGGCAGAGATTTCCCAAAGTATGATTCCTTTTTCTTAATCCTTTGACCAGAGGATAAGTGTTGCTGATAAATAAAATATTAACTGATTGCCTATAATGTGCCAAGAACTATTATGAGGTATTAGACATACAGAGGTAAATATACACATTGTGTGTGCATGTGTGCGCACACGTGTGTGACTGGGCAGTGAGTCTAGGGAATTCTACCACTGAGTGCATTTCAGCTCTTGTTTGTTTATTGAGAGGCAAGATATCACACTATGTTGCCCTGGTGGCCTCAAATCTGTAATACTCCTGCCTCAGTCTCTCCAATAGCTGGGACTACAGGCACAGGCCACCATGTCCAGCTACACATAGTCTTTTAGTTTTAGAGGATAAGGTCTCTATCCAGATTATAACTATCTAAATGATGAAAGAGATTAAATTTATGATTTGAATTTACTAGCCTCCTGCTCCTAGTACCTGACTAACCAGTCAACATCTAAATCCTATAGGCTGAGGAAAAGCAGAGAAAAAAACAATAAAAATTCTACAACTCAATGCAGAAATTGTACTCATATAACACTTAAAAGTATACAGTTCCATTCAAATTGTTATTCTCTTAAAACTCTGAATCAAATTGTAACATTTTTGTATATCTCATTCTATGGGTTAAAAAACACCTTTACATATGTGCTATGAATATATTATTTCTGTATTACCTTTGTTCTAACATGATGTCAATTTGTACATGTTTTCTAAGAAGTCTGAACAACACAATTACATGTGACAATGAGATAGAAGAAAAACAGATCAGGGGTTCCACATGTTATTTTCTTAGGAAATCTGTAGGGAAATCAGTGTTTTACTGGTTAGTTCTAAGTGACATTCTGCAAATGTCTTTACATGTTACAGAGAGCCTCTTATAAACTTCAATCACCAGAAGAGTAAAGAATGACAGAACAGAGATCAGTTCCTGTGAACCTCTCCCTTATAAGTGTTGTCTTCTGTGCATGTCAAGAATTACCTTATAAGTATATGAAATAAACTATGAAAAACAGGTCTGAATTTGTCCTCTCAGCAACCTGCTAAATGTTTTGCTATGCAAACTGCATGGAGATTTTATGGGCTTCCACAGGCCAGAGAGCGCACTCTCCTACTTGGCCTTACCCCAGGCTTCTCTTAGAGTTTGACAGAAGGGTCTGAGAAAAGAAGACCTGGACAGTCATTCTACAGACAGCACAAGTGCTCTCTGATTTTGTAGTTTCAAGATGTTTACCTGTATTGACACCATCCACAAGAACCCTACCAAACGGAGAATCAATTGTTTCTTGTCACTGTTTAGTCTTAGATACCCAAGAGTTGTGGGAGATGGACATTAGAGAACTCAGAGAGGTACAGCTTTGCTTTTTCTAGACGAGACACTGGGTATATAACTTACCCGCTCCAATGCCTGTTTCTCGGTTTAAACAGAGAAAACATATTTCATAAGGTTGTAGAATAAAGGAAATAAATGAGGCCCAACTCATTGTACACATCCAGTAAATAGATTCTTTCTCTCTTAATTCTGTGAGAAAGTATTTATTTAATATAAATGTTACAAGAGTTCCTTTTAGGACTAGTTGTAACTTTACAATCACTAGACTTCACCAGTTTGGTAGTACAAAATTGAAACTTATGTTACCAAAGCTTACTTCCACGTCTACATACTACATTCATTTATGGTAATTATGGCTGCTTGTCCTCTGTCTTCATCTGGCAACATGATGTCTTCCAGCTGGAGAGATGGCCTTGGGGGCAGGAGTCTGCCCTGTCTTCCTGATGGAACACTCAGTGAGTAGAGGGGCTGTTCCACGGAGGCCAGCCACTCCCAATCTGCGGCACTGGTGAGAAGCTAAATGACACGATTTCTGTTCCGGCCTCAGAAACACACTGCAACATCATAAAGACGATCTTCCTGCCCCGTCCTACTGCTTGCTCTGACACCCAGACCACTTGTGCCTCTCCGTGAAAAAGGTTCTTCCACATCTGCCCATGACTGCTGACAGCTCTCCCCCTCCCTCATCCACAGACAAAGACCAGGAAACCCTGTCTCCCAAGGCGCCAGTGTCCACAGAATCCTTCCCCAGTGCAAACCATTTCCTGCAAACAGCCTGCTGGCTTCCTGCTTCATCATCAGCACCAGCCTCAACAGCCATTTCCGCTCGGCTGGACCCCTCCACACTAACGATCACTGCACCTCAGCTTTCTTATTCACAAGGAGCCTCCCTTCCAAACCCGAAAAGCATGAGAGTAAAAGCATGTAACACAAATTTATTCTGTGACATTTTCCTCACTGAAGATATTTAAAAGATTAAAACACATCAGTATTTCATGAAAAATACTTAGAATTTAGATAGTTCAGTATTTGTAATAAACATGATTTAACCCTGAACATCCATTTTTTATTTCAAACATCATTTTTTAAAAAGTAACATAAAAATGGTAAAGATTACTGTATTCTTCACATATTCAAAGTCTCATAAATTTTATTCAACTCCCAGTTTGCTTCTCAACCATGTATGTTAACGGTATTTGCTCCTGTGTTTGAGTGGAAAGAGGATCCATTTTCTGTTTCTTAACAATGGTATTTCGGTCTTCTTTTTCCAATTCTTGACGAAAATTCTTCATGCTTAGTTTGAATAGTAATCGAGGATCTGGTCCAGAAAGTGGTGGGCAATTACAGACCTCTCTAATATGCAGAGCCTGTGAAAACAGAGTACAATGCCACTTCTGATATGCTCTAAGCAAAACATTTAAATATAATACATTCTTTAGTTTTATACTAAAACTTCCCTTCATCCCAACACATAAAAGAGAACCAGTGATACTTTCCTAGTTTGCTCAAATAAATCCTTTAAAAACAACAGGGACTGTATCTGTTGCAACTACCAAGTGCTCTGTTGAGGATAAAAATCTCAGTGAGAGCACTGGCTCCTCAGGGCCCCCGTGGACCCCAGAAGGGCCGCTCGGATTAGTAAAGACATGAAAGCCTAGGAAGCTCTGTCAAAACAGCAGGGACACATCTAAACACACCAAGAAACGATACACAACTGAACACCTGGAGTAGAACTGATGCTAATACCCTAGGAAAGGACACAAGAAAAATACAAAGCGGCAGGAAAAGGAAAAGGAATCACAGTACACTATGTGCCTTCAGCTTAAAACACCAGATCTCCGTCTGACCTAAAATCACAGTCTGGTTACTGGGGACGGGCACTGTTGGCCAGGCATGTGCATGTGCTGGGCATGACGTGGTTAAGAAGGTGCTGAAGTCTGGTCATCTGGAGTGGAGAAACCCTGAAGCTGCAAACTTAGGAACATCAATGTAAGACTGCTGAGACAGAACTAATAAAAACAAGCCAGACTGCAGTAGGAGAACCAACAATATCATGTAACAGCTGGCAGAAGTTACCGCCAAAAGTGAGGACAGCGTGGGCGGCTGCTGCTGCAAGTGACTTGCCTTGAAGAACTCGTTAACTCTTCAAAATGGATCACTTTAAATTATTAAGGCCATTCATGAGCCCCAGTGAGAACAAGAATTTTGCCACTTCCTCTGAGCCTGTGCCACGTCCCAGTGTGCAAGCTGGGAGACAGGAAGAGTCAGGGTGCCTCCCACCCATGAGCGACTGGCTGACCCAGAGAAACACCACTTGAAATGGTAGCTACTGAGGTAAAATACAGCCTGAGGCTTGTAGGACTTAGTGTTTCACTGACTTTGTAGGCCCAAAGCTGGCGATCTGATCATCTATTTAGAGGATGACAATATACAGTATGGCATCTATGGGGGATCTTCTTCTAAGGGGGGTAGCCCTGTTAATTCCCTATTATCTTGGGTTTTTTGTTTGTTTGTTTCATTGTTTTATTTGGTTTCCTTTTATTCTGTTTTGTCTTGTTTGATTTTGCTATATCTGATGGCATGCAGCTATTTTGAGGATAACAAGATATATTATGGTAGCTATTTTGGATTTACTATTATTTTGTTTTAAAGTCCTGTATTGTGTTGGTTTGTTTTGATTAGCTCTATTCTGTTCTGTTTTGTTTGACTTTTCCTGTGTCTGATGGTATGGGCAGCTATTTTGAAAACAATAAGTGGCATTATGGTAACCATTGTTGATTTCCTATTATCTTGTTTTGAAACTTTGTATCAATCACACTGTTGTACTTTACTTGGTTTTATTCTCTTTAAAATAAAAAGTTCAAATACAGAAAAAAAATACTAAAACTAATTTTTAGAAATGTATTAGTACAAGTTTCCAGTACAGTTTACAATCAATCTGAAGAATGGGTATATGTACTAATATAACTTGTTTCTTTGTTAAATCCCACTGCCTTCCTCTTCTCCCTCCCTGCCCCTCTAGCACCCCTTCCCTCAGTTTCATTCTGGTTGCATTATTAATCTTAGCTCATGTTGATGACATAGAATGTTTACACTCACTAACACTGTTGGGTTCCTGCATGTGGCATGCCTTTCTTCTACTCATTTCCCTTCTCTCCCCCTTTCACTCATGTTCTCTTGGACCCTTTCCTCTCTGTAAGACATCCATCTTCTTGTCTCCAACCCATCTTTACTTTTCTCTTTGTACTTCACCTCACTCAAATGAGAGATATCATACTGCATTTAAGCTTGTACATCTGGTTGATTTCACTCAACACTGTATTTTCTAGGTGCATCCATTTTCTAGAGATGTCTCAAATCTCCTCCTCTATAGTTTAGTATTTCATTATGTACAGATATCACACCTTCTTTATCCAGCTGTCTGTTGATGGGTTCTGCTCCCAGAATTTAGCTATTATGAGTTGTGCTGCTATAAACACTGGTATGCATGTATCATTAGAGAATGATGTCTCAAGCACTCTGGGGAAAATACTGAGAAAGGGGGATAGCTGGGTCATATGGAATTTATATTTTAGTTATCTGAGAAATCTCCATACTGATTTCATAATGGTTGCACTGGTTTACATCCTCACGAACTGTATTAGTCAGGGTTTTAACTAGAGAGAAGAGATATAACATGAGATATACAGAAACAAGATTGGCTTATGATGGTCAGCCAGAGTCGGATGAGGAAGCATGTAGAGGGTGTCTACACACTGGAGGCTGAAGGATTCAATCCAAGGTCTGGAGTTCACCCTAGTGTCTTGTGCAAGTCCACACCAGCAGGCTGAGGGGTCTGCGACAGAAGGCCTAAGGTTCTTCGATGGGACGTCCAAAAAAAGGGGGAAGACTAGAGCTTCTCCCAAGAATGGAATGCATCTGTCCGTCCTCCTTCCCTTTTATACCTCCAGGTGATGAGCCACCCTAGGGTGGGTCTTCTTCTACATCCTTGAGTGTAGAGTTGCTAAACCCACTTACTTAAGCTTGTAAATGTCTCAAGTTGACACAATCAACCACTACACCAGCCACTAGGAAGGTTCCTTTTTCACCCCACCCTTGCCACAATTTGTTACTTTGTGATTTCTTGATGATTGCTATTCTTTCTGGTGTACAACAGAATCTTAGTATTGCCTTAACATGCATTTCTGTAATAGCCAGAGATGTTGGCTATTTTTTAGTATACAACAAAACCTTGGATTGGAAGTAACTTTTTCTATAAGATAAGCACATATTTCTAATAAATTTTAACTTGATAACGTACCAATGTCTTGTGATACAAACAAGTGTGATACAAACATTTGATGTGATGACATCAAATGTTACGTGATCACAATGGTTCTTTTTCTCCTTCTCCCTCTCTCTCCATTCATCCCTCTCTCTGTGGGATTGTGGGTGATATCTCCCAACAGCAAGAGTCTATGGAGAAGATCTCATCTGCAGACAAGGAAGAGAAAAAGCTGGAGAGAAAAAGCTGCAGAAGAGGAAGAGAAGCCCTCACCTCAAATGAGGTTAAGAAGATGTATAAAATGTGGGAAACGGTACAAAATTTTGTAGAAAAGCCCACTTGAATAAGGTTGTAGCAGTGTGAGCAATGAATCCCCATAACAACAATGCAATGTCACAATACCACTAAATCCTCAAAAGCAGGAAAAAGCAAGTGTCACTGGATAGGCTTTTTTTATTAAAGTTTCACAGAAAGAAAGATTCCATTGAGCCAACAGATACCAGTGATTCTGGTACTGATGGAGAAAATCATCCTATACAATAACCTTCCTTTCTCATCTTCCTCATATTAGCCATAAAAGCTTTCAAAGTGCAGGTTAATTTATTCTTTATATTTTATATTTTCTTTATCTTATTATATTACAGTGCTGTAACCATTTTTATATGAATATTTTTGAGTTGTGAACTATCTGAGTTTCCATTATTTTTTATGGGGAAATTTGCTCAGATATACCACTCCTTTAGCAGAATGAATTATGCTTGAGAAGCAAGGTTCTACTATATATGCTGACCATTTATACTTCTTCCTCCATGAAATATCTGTTCATTTCAGCCCATTTCTTGACTGGCTGTTGATTCTTGCTATGCAAGAAAAATTATACAATTGGGATTCTGTTTAGAAAATAATTCCCTATATCTATGACTTCAAATGTTTTACCTATTTTATTTCCCAGTTAAGTTCAATGTTTTTGTTTTAATGTTTATATTTTTGATTCATTTTAATTTTAATTTAGTACATGGTGAGAAACATGGGTTCAGTTTCAATCTTGTGCAGACAGTTATCTAATTTTCCCAGCACCTGTTTAATAGGCTATCTTTCAAAAAAAAAAAAAAAAAAGTCAGTATTTAGGGAGTTTTGAAAGATATGTAGGAGAAAAAGCTCAATTCTGATTTTCTGATGCTGATGTATCACAAGGGAATTAAACATAAGCTGCAATTCAAGGTCATCAACTACTGTATAAAACATGTGCTAGTCTTCTGATTTGAGGAACAGCCATCCAAAATGACCTGAAAGACCAGGTACAAAATTAAAATTCTAGAATTTCAGAATATGTAAGGCTGAAGGGAGCCTAGTGTAGCTCCTGCTCCAACATGCTGCCTGTGATCTTCCCCTATTTCTGGCTGAACACACTCTGTGAGGATCTAGAGGAAAAGGTCTATGTGGGCCCTGGAAGCAGGCTCAAATATATTTGGCCAAGGAATCACATTATCTTAGCCATGTTGAGTGCAGTGTGGTGGGTGTAGCTTCTTAGATGGGAACAGTGCCATGGGAGATGGAGGCACGCAGCCAGAGATGGTCAGAAAGGAGTACTGTAGGTGGATGGGCAGGAGCCTGGGCTAGGAGCCCTTCTGACTGGTGAGGCTACACTTTATCAAACTACAGAGGAAAAAGCAGTACTTAATGTGAACTCTTTTGGTAGTAGAGATTCTGAGTTTTTACCTTTGTAGCTCACCACACAATACATTCAGGTTAAATAAACAGCAAAAGTGTATGAACAGCTATTTTGAAGAAAATAAGACTCTGTGGCAGGCATTGCTGATTCTAATATTATCTTTCTTTGAAGTCCTACCATACTTTTGTTCTTTTGTTTCCACTGATTCTATCATGTTGTGTCTTATTGGATTTTAATATCTGTGATAGTATAAACAAATATTTTATGGAAAATGAGGTATTAGCCATTGCTCGTTTTCTGTTATTTGGTCCTGAATGCCCTGTAATACTTTCATTCTCTTGAATGGTTTTATACTATTTTGTTATGTTTGATACTATTGTATGTGAAGGTACGCTCAACTATTTCAAAGAAAGAGATATTATGGTAGCTAC